GGGCTCGCCGCCGCCCCCGCGGGGAGCCGGGTGGTGTGTTCTTGCCGAAGGGAAACGAGACCCGATATTAGAACCGGGGAAGCCCTTAACCTTCCCGGTCCTCCAGCCAGCTCATGTGTCTTAGATCGGATGAGCTGAACATTAAAAAGACAGATTGTCTTACAACTCGGTTCGTTTTAGGATGCCAGGTTACATTTTAACTTGCACGGTGTATAACAGACGATTAAACTTGGGTTACCGAAGGCAGCTAACTCTAAAATCTAGGCTGTCATCCCTGATCGTGTGGCCGCTGCCGAGGGGCGAGGCTTTAAGGGAATGGGTCTGTTCGTAATTCTTTACAAGTGCCATTGTTCTGTTCTAGGTCCTAGGTCCTTGACAAAGACCCATAGTTGAGCGGGGCTCTGGTGCAGTCTGGTCCTGCCAGGATCTAATCAGCGACATTTTCAAACTATGTGAAGACCTATTTTAAGAAGATTTATTCTTCTGTGATGGAGAAGTATGAAAAAATTGGGAAAATCGGCGAAGGATCCTATGGAGTTGTTTTCAAATGCAGAAACAGGGACACGGGTCAGATTGTGGCCATCAAGAGGTTTCTGGAATCAGAAGATGATCCTGTCATAAGGAAAATCGCCCTTCGAGAAATCCGCATGCTCAAGGTAATGAATTCTTTCAGGGACTGAAAAAATGAAACTGAGTCGTGTTATGTTAAATAAATGCCTTGAGATGTGGTTACATCTCTTTCCTTCATGGACTTTTGTCCTCAGTGACACAAATGGGATGTCTGTGCACAAGTCACCAATTATATAATGAGTTAGAAAGCAGAGCCCCAAGTGCAGGGAAATGTATTCACTTTCAGAGATGCTGTGAGGTATTTTGTTTTTCTTCCCAGTGGCTGCTTTTCCATGTCACCTGTAGATCTGGTTCTTCAGGAGCCATCAACTTTGCTAGTACAGTAACTTCCCACAACTCAAGCCTGCTAGCATTCATGACTTTTAAGCTTCTAGGCTATCTTCTAATAACACTCCCAGTCTGCGAAGAGAATTAATCATTCATCTGTTTTTCAGACTGTTGGGAAGCTGACAGGTTTTCTTCTCACATTTAGCTACTGCTGAGCATCACAATGTCTTGTCGCTAGACTGATTTTTCTTAAAGAAGTGAAATGATCGTTTTAAAAATGTTCTCTAGTTAATTCTAGGAGGCCATATCAGAGGTAGGGGGAAAGTTGTTTATTAGAAGCTGAAAGTATATTTTTCCTGTCATGGAAATGAAGAAGGGAAGTATTTTTCCTTCTTTTCTTAATTTCTGTAAGTATGAAACCCAAATCCTACCCCACGTAGAATGCGACATGTAATGAACACAGTGGGGGTTAACTTTCACAGTTCAAGTTGGTTTGAAACAGTGAGGGCCCTGGGTTCTGACATGTATAACTGCCTATGCAAGGAAAGAGCAACCTCGTGGGAGAGGAGTGGAACATCCAGGGGATTTTTCTCTCATCTTTGCTTCTCTGTTTTCTCCAGGCCTCTCCAAAAGTCTCCTTTCCCCCATGAATCTAGTGCATGCGGTTATTGCGATAAGGACCCTGAGTGGGATGTAGTGGGCTTTGGATAAATTCTAATGAGTGGGTAATAGGAAAACGTTCTGTTTTTGGGTTTAGGACATTTTTTTCCCACCAGGATGTTGTCAGTTCTGGGAAGGCCCCTTCCAAAGCCCCAGAGAAGTGCTCCCCGACGAAGGAGCGAGACCAGCAGTGTTTGCCATCCCACTGCCTGGGTGTCCCGCCCTTCCCCCTCCACGCAGGGACAGGGTCTCACCCTTTCTCTGGGGCTTGTGGGCGTTTTTCACTTTCTCAGGCCTTCCGTAGAGAAGGTGAGAATTGTATTTTGAAGGGTCCGTTTACTCCAAAGAAAAGACAGTCTGTTTCTAGTGGAGAGAGACTCTTTTTCCTATTCTGAAGGTCACCTGTGAGTGCCTCTCTGAAACCTCTCACTATTCTTTAGCAATACTGTGTTTACAAGGTTAGTCCCTGAATTAATTCACTTCCTTCAGGATGGGGACCTTGCTTCTGTATCAACCGCTTGGCATATAATACGCCTCCAATAAATGTTATTGTTGGATTGAAAAAAAGATGTTAACAAAATAAGCTCTTAGGAAGGGTAGGTGTTGCCACTAAGTTAGGAAGTCAGATGTGGTCTCTTGAATAGCTGAACATTGATGTCCCCTGAAGGATAGAGTTGTGTGCACAGGAGCCTGGTTTCAAAGCTCACAGCAAACCATCCCCCAAAATCAAGTGCACAGCTGTAGACTCCCCTGATCCATATGAGGTGATGGGGCTAGATTATGGGTTGAGCCTGTCCCTTCAAAGCCCTGACTTTTCGAATTCTGCGATATTTCTGACACAAAAGGATGCTTAAATATTTGCTGAATAAATGAATTGAGGATTTGTTCAATGAAATCATGTTTTCTCCATTTTTCTATTCAGTAAATATTTGGGGGGGGCCCCTTGTGCCTAAAACAATGTTTATACAAAGTTGTACATCCTGTCTTTCAGACGTTTAACTGGTGGAAGATGAATTTCCCTACAGCTCTCACTCGCAACAGACTGGTTCCCAAAGGGCACGGCCTGTGTCATTCACCTTGTGGCCCCATGCTAGGCACAAACCCTCTAGATAAAGTGTTTAGAGGCATGCTTGAACTAGACTTTGAAATGTTTGGGGAGACACGGAACGAGAGAGAAGGCATTCAGAGCAGACAGTCTCTCCTAAGAAGAGGTACGTAAGTGGAAAGCAATATATTGAGAGAACACAGGTTATAAACCCAAAGTCGTAGCCAGGATGCCTGCTGGGTGCTGACAGGAAGGGAGAAGAGAGAAGAAAAAGAAGCCAGCATCCAGAGGAGGGGATGTGAGGAATTTTCTGGAATACAGGTGTGGCCCTGGGATAAATGATGGTTAGCACATAGCGGCATCTTGGTCCCAAGTGGCCTTTGGTGTTTAGAGCTTGCCCCTAGGGGACATGTTGTCCCTGAGAACAGGAAACTGGTGAGGTCTAGGCTGGTGTTTTAGGGTCCCATCTGAGCTGCATCCAAGCAGAGCTCCAGAGCCCGTGGAAGGGGAATACTAAACTGGGAGCCAGGCGCGGTTCTGTGGGCCCAGGTTCAAAGGCTCAGGGGCTCAGTGAGCGTGAGTTGCTAGGGTTTCCTTCCCCACCCCTCGCGGAGCGTGGGCTGTTAATGACCCCTGCTAAGGTCAGGATCTAGGCAGACTGAGGCGGAAGGTACCTCAGTGACCTTAGCAGGTGAGAACAGGCAGGGGCTGACCCCCAGACCACTCCTATTATGATAAGAAAAGCAAGAAAGGTAGATTAGGACCAGATGTAGAAGACTTCCACTGCCAGGCCTAGGAGTCTGGCTTTCTCCTGAAAAGAGGGAAGCCAGCCAAAATGTTTTTATTAGAAAGTTGTCACTTGCAGGTTTTTGAATTTCCTGGACCAATAAAACTAAAAAAAAATTTTTTTTTTACAGATTGGGTGGTTAGCATTTTAAAAAACCAGTTTGTCACCATCACTTCATAAAAGAAGGATGTTTCAATATTTTTTTAAAAACTAGGAAAGACATAATTTTAGGAGAAAAGCACAGTCTTCCTGAGAGTAGCTGACAACTAAAAACATCTGTGTGTGTGTGTGTGTGTGTGTGTGTATATATGTGTGTATACATTCTCTGGGGGGGGGGTGTGTGTGATATCAGTGCCCTTATTTTTCTCATTTCACTATCCCTTGATGAAAATGGAGATACTTGTTTTCTGCAGTCTCATTCTCATGAAAGTTAATACTATGTCTGGAAACAGCAGGACTCCCCAGATCAGATGATGTCCCAGTTATAGGATCTATATCTGATATAATGAAATACTAATACTACAAAAGAACTGAATGATCCCTTGGATTTTATATTATAATAGAATTTGGCCTGTACCTATCCTCAGAGAATTCCTTATGTGTATGTTTGTTTTGTTCTTTGCTTTTTGTTTTAAATTGAAAGATAGTTGATTTATAATGTTGTGTTAGTTTAAAACCATTTATTTAACAATTTAAAGCAACTGCTAATAGTTGCTATTGGACTGTTAAAAATTATAGTTGTTTCTGTTAAGCAGATAAGGTCATGGGAGTGAATTGTCCAGTAGTCAACTGCATAATTGTCAAGGCAGCCCATCTACAGTGTTTACCACTCTTGATGTGAAAGAATACGTGAAGATGTGACTGTCCATCAGTAAATGCTTTTGAAGATGATTATTATTACCAAAAAGCCTATTTTACTAAAATTTTCAGAAAATATTTTTTTCTGAAAATTTAAAATACTTTTCAAACAGCATTATTTCTTGCCATTTTGGGGGGAAAGAGAAGTGTGACACATTTTTATGAGACCAGTTCAGTATTTGTACTAATAAACTGCTTCCTAAGTTAAATATAATTCACTCTTCACCAAGAGGTCCTGCTGCAGTCAACCCTTTAATGTTTTAATTTTGAATCTTATTTTTTCCAGTTTACAGAATTAGACTTTTAGAAAAATAAACAGTTACCCCAGTTAAAATTAGTCAGTTCATACTCGACTCTAAGAACAAATTAACTACCATTCTAGTGACAGTAATAAAATTATACTGCAGTACCAGAGCTCGAAGCACCCATCCTGCTCTTCCTCAAACTCACTTTCCATTGTGGCAAAGAACAAGAAGGAATTTCAGTCGGTGTTTTTGATGAGACACCTGTGTGTGAGATAGTTGACATGTGTTCTTCATTTGGCAAGTTTTTACAGAACTCCTGCCGTGTACCAGGCACTGTTCTTGGCTCCTGTCCTCACAAACAAGTAGACTAACAGTAAACAAATGATTATACATCAAGTGGTGAAATATGAAGTGGGGTAAAAGGGTAAAAGGTGATGGAGGGGCTTGGTTTTTTATATAGTGTCGTTAGGAAAAGCCCTTCTGATGAATGAGTTTTGGAGACCAGAGGAAACACGGAAGGGTGACTCCTGCAGCTACTCAGGGGGAAAGCATTCTGGGTAGAGGGAATAGTAAGACAGAGGCCTCAAGGCAAGATTACACGATGTGTTCTAGGGGTGTTCTGGTGTTTTTCTAGGAGGAGCAAAGAGATGAGCGCGTCTGGAGCAGAGTAAGCGAGGCTGAGAGTCATAGGAGATGAATTCAGAGAGATGAGGATGTCAAACCTGAGGGCTTTGTGGGCCATGGTAGGGGCTGTGGGTTTTACTTTGAATGAGATGGGAGCCATCAGATGGTTCTGAGCAGAGGGACTCCCGGGCATGACTTACATTCTAAGAGGACTCCTCTGGCTGCTGGTTGCTCCAGCTCCACGGACAGGAAGATCCTTTAGAAGGCTGTTGGTGTGATCCATGTGTGATGTGATGGGGTGTGGGTCAGAGTGGTGGTGGTGGAGGTGGTCAGATTCAAGATTTACTCTGAGAGAAGAGCACATAGGAATCTGATATTTGGATGAGGAAGCAAGAACGACCCCAAAGTTCTCGACTTGAATAGCTGGAAGAACGAAGAGATGATTGACTGTGACAGGGAGACCCAGGTGCAGATCCGGGGGAAAGGAAGTCAAGAATTTTGCTTTGGATATGTTATGTTTGAGGTGCAAATCCAAGGGGA